ACGCAGCTTCAGGGGCGGAGATATATCATCCTCGAATGTATTGATCCACAGGGTCCAAATCGGAATTATGGCCCAGTTGGAAGTTGGCGTAGTCCACTCCTTTGAATAGATACTTGAAGAGATACAAAAACACGTCGGCAGTAAACACAATGTCCACATTGATGTGGCCTTCCCAGAGTAAAAGTAGAGGAGGTGAATATGGTACGACCCAAGCGTCTGAAGAAGATCGTCGTCGATAAGAAACACGTTGTTTTTCGTTCACTTGGGTGTAAGTGGTCACTGGGTGGGGAAAACCGTAGATGCATTGACCCTTTCGATTGCAACGACTCATTCGTGCATGTCGAGGATCCAAATGATCAGAGCGGTGCATCATGTGAGACATCACTAATGTGCAAAGACAACTTTGATCCCGAGGGACTTCAGCCGACACAATGTAATCAATGTGTTCGAAGTCAATGCGGCGCTTGAGCTATTAAAAGAAATGAGAGTGGGAGTGAATGAGGGAAACAGAGTGCGACCCACCTTGACCACAATATGAACGTGGGGTAAACCCCGCTTCTGAAATTCCACAGCATATACCATGTAAAGAAATCCATCGAATAAGATTTCAATTCTTTTGAGCAATTGTAGAAAGCGAGCCTGAGAACAGAGGGTTAAAAACCAAACGGATACAACAAACACAGAAATGATCACCCAAAAGACTCGAGCAGTTATGACAGGGGCAGTGGTGGCCATCTGTCCAGGTAATAGTTTGGCGGTGATTTCAGGCCAGTTCGGATTGCAAGTGGCGGTGATCATTAGGTCGGGTTTGCCGTATTGACGGGCTAATGCGAGAGCATCTGCTACTTTTTCAGCATAATATCGAGCGGAACCGGTGAAGCTGGATGGAAGTTGATAGAAGTGTTCTTCTTGTTCTTCTGAATCTTGGTGATCAGCGCGTAATATACGATCGTATTCATGTTGTTTTCCTTGTTTAATGAGGAATAGTCATTGATCCTCCACTCGGGAGAACATGTCGATTATCCATTCACATCCTAAACGCCAGAATTGATGGAAACGCTCTTCTGTCAAGAGTCGATGTTTATACCATGCGATTTGAGTCCAATGGCCGTACTGGACGTGACGATGGATTTCTCCCCAACCGCCCACTCCGTGGGGAAAGAGAATGGGATATTGTAGGGGTTCATATAATGTATTCAGAATGTTGACGGGGGAAGGAGTGGCGTCCCTTCGACGCTGTACAAAGATGCAGCGTGGATCATGAGTTGCACCTGAACCGACATGATAGATGGCAGCGATTTCATTGGACACTCCCGGATCTTGAATTTGCATGGAGACGTCTTGCAGATGGGGTTGGAACTGTGCAAAATCTTGGAAGTTTCGAAATAGAGGATTGTTTGCCATCAATTCTTGACGGATAGCATCCACAGTGCAAGGAGGGACATTGGATTGTAAAATGGCAGGAGTAGCTCCCAATGGATCATACAGAAACCAATTGATGGGATGACCTGATCTTTGACTCGGAAAAATACGATGATATGTGCGACCGGTGATACACAGAGAATAAGGACCTACCCAGAACATTTGAGGTCAGAGTGTGAAAGAGAAGGACTCTCATACCTTGAAAGGAGTGAAATTCTCCGGATACAGCTTGTGCACTCAGATTGAACAAATAGTTCAACGCTTGGGACGCATTGCCCGCATTGGTTGGCGAGGTGCTGATGAAAGAAGCTAGACAGGGGGGTAGCGGTGGAAGGTGTGGAAGACGTTTAGTGCCACGACGGCAACACCAATCCACACTTTCGGATTCCAAAAGTAGAGCGCCACACCATCCACACAGGGTGGATCGCCATCGGAAGTGGTCAGACATAGGGGACAATTGGGTGAAATAAACCCAATATTGGTGGTTGGAAAGTACCGCGCTTGGGAAATTGTGTTAGAGTGTTAGAAAGGGGTGAAGGCGCATTAAGAAGTATGTACATTGATCGGGAAGAAAGAGCAGAAGAATGAGGATTTCTGGCCGTTGGATGTCGAACGGGAGGAAGAAGGGCAATTGCGCTCGCCATCGGAAAAGAGTGAACGTTTGGAAGCTCAAAGTCCAATTGAAAAGTCCGATTAGATGAGAACACACAATGGTGAGATAATATGCTTGGATGAAGGTCGGCGATGAATGAGTGAATAGAATGGGAGGGTCCGATTCATGTCTCCGCCATAGCAGCGAGTTCGTGGAACCCTCCGCTGTGCAGAAATATCCAGAATGGTTACAGTGTGTAAGGAGATTTGAAATCTTTGTAATAGCAGCGAGTCCCAAAAACTCCCCGCCTTCCAAAAAGATCAAAACGCCCACAAGTACACGCCCTAGGAGAGCAATATTGATGACAGAGCCAGTAACTCAGGTTTGCGTCGATCATTCATGTGATCTGGACATGGATATATAAATCAAGCATGTGATGAAGAAAGGAATTGTCAGAGACCAGATTCGAGACGAGGGAGAGTCTCTGTGATGGAGGGCTTTGGCCTCAGCGACTTCTGCCAAGAGCGCTGTGCCTAGTGACACGTCCGTGCCCTAACTTACTGACTGGCAATCAGAACCGAAGGGGGGGTAACTCTAGTTGATTTTATTACTGGGGTGTAACCTATGTACAAGTGGGATATATATATGGTTACAGCGAAGATGGGTCCGCAATTGGCGGAGCCGAACGGAGTGGAACTAACGGGGTTTAAACATTAGCCGACTGAATATTACCGATGAGTCGGGTCGCGGGGTTAGTGGAAAGGCAGGCGATAACCCAGAAATGGAAAGGAGGGATAGGCCCGAAGGTGGGCTCTGCAGGGCAGGCGAGTGTATTGCCCAGCGGAGGCAGGAGTGCACTAGCGGACGTCGGAGCTGTCCGGAAGTCTTCGGGGCTCCGTACTTAGGGAGGCGTAGGTAATAAATTGAAATGAGGGGGTGGTGACCATCAAGGGGTACCGAGGGGATTGCGGAATACGGGAGCTCCGAGGTTAGTGAGGGAGGAGCGGAGTTAGACCGGAGGGATTGGAGGAACCGGAAGTCGATGGCCAGGGATGGATATGACAGGGTCGGGATTCCGGGATATGACATGGACCACTTTCCTTTGTATCAATGTACTATTGACCCGTCCGGCCCACACACCCCAGACGGCTTCCCACTGTGCCCAGCACGTGCACATGCAGCGGACGCTCTCGGGATCCCCCATGGGGACACCCAGATGGCTGCAGCTGTCTCCGAGGATGACGTGGCACTCGTCATGTGACTCAAGCCGCATGTACATAAATGTACCTGAAGTGGGAACCGAAGAAGTAACCTTCTTCTCACATTCTCCACTTCAGTCTGAGTGGCCAGGGACTGCTCTCCCTTTCCAGACCTGCCAGTATGCACGCCCGGTTCACACCCCATGAGGGCCCCTCTGCCGGGCGATACATCTGGACCCCCTCTACCCTGGACGCATCCCTGACAAATGGCTAATGAACTCAATGGATGGAGCCTGGCGGTCAGATGCAATTGGTGTAATTGGGGTAATGGGGTCAACAGGTGGAATAGGTTCTGGATGTGACAGAGGGGTGTGTGTGGAGGCAGGACTGGTATGTTCAGAGGTTCAGAACGAGATACTGCTCTTTACCCAGTCAATCAACAGATTGTGGTGGGTGAGCCAGTTGTGTCCTAGAACCATGGAACAAGTACCATCCAGCAAGGTGACATAGAAAGTCATTCATTAATGAAACAATCCGATGATCCTGAATCAATGAGAGCTTGATATTGCTCATCAGGGTGTTTTTATTAATAGGAGGGACAGAAGTAACGGACGAAGGAGAAAGAGGAAGTGAGGACAAAGGATTTGGAGCAACAGGTGATGAAGGAGGTAGACCATTTGAAGAAAACAGTTTTCCTGGATCAACAACAGATGGGAGAGAAAGAGGAGGAGAGAGTAGACCATTTTCAGAAAAAAGAGAAGAAGAAAAAGGGATGAGAGAGATGGGAATGATGAGGGAGGATGTTTCAGATATTGAGGCGGCACTTAAGCAAACCTCTTTGATAGCACGCAAGGGAGTAACGCAACCCCAGGTTTGTGCTGAGTCCATGGAGTTGTGAACTAATTTTTTGGCCCTACAGGAGGAGCCATAGAGGGCACAGTTTGGGCAGTTCGTGCCTTAGAAGTGCAAGAAGATGATTTTGGGCAGTCCTTGACCATATGGCCAGACAAACCACAAAACATACAAAGATTCCCGTTGAAACAGTGCTTACACTCTTCTGGTGTTAGCTTGCCATTCTCACCGAGTTTTGAAGAGAGGTCCGGTTTGGCCACAGGGCATCCTTTGGACTTCTTATGGTCTTTAGGAGGCTTCGCAACCACAGTGGGAGTGGAGGCGGAGGGAGTAGAGGAAGGACAGAAGGAAGTACTTGCTGATCGAGATGCAGCAGACTTGTCGAAGGTAGTGGCAGAGGAGGGCAGAGGTCTAACATGTTGTCCAGCTTCAGCCTTGAACGTCTGCACGAGTTTTCAGAGGGCAGCAAGTGAAGTAGGTTTGGTGACACATGAGAAATCGTCCTTGAGATGCTCTGGCAGTCTGTTGTAAAAGAACCGATGAAGTGCAGGCTTGCCATAACCATGCAACTGTGTAGCATATCGATTGAACTCGACAATGTACTTATTTATGTGATGCCCATCTTTCATACTCAACTGGAGGATCTTGTCTTCAGTGTTGCCCATTGGATCATGGGGACCAAAGTTCTCCTTGAGCTCTAAGACAAACTCCTGAAAGTTATCCATCCACATAGGTCGAGCACCCTCAGGCAGCCCTTCCAGAAGGTCCAGTTCGAAATGATCAAGGGACATCCCCATCAAGGTGTAAATAATCTTCGAGCAGTCACTCATGAAGGCCAGGGGGCAGTCCTGAAAGTTCAGTTCACACTGGACCAAGAAGGTGCAGAGCTTGCAGGGATCGACCCCATCAAACTGGTTGGGTTCTCGAACCTTGGTTCAAAGGGAGGTGGATGGAGTGGGAGGTTGCATGGGAGCAGGAACTGGAACAGGGACCAGAGTGGGACGAGCGGTGGAGCAAGCAAGATAGGTGATTGCTTGTGCTAACTGGGCAAGTACCAGAACAGGAACTTGCTCAACTTCATCATTGTCACCAATGAGAATAGGAATAGGTGGAATAGGGAGGTTAAGGTCAATGAGAGGGATGGGTTCATGACGAACCAGCCCATCTTCATCAACAGCCTCGACAACAACGGCCGACTCGTGTGTGCTACTGGCAACAACACGGTCGAAGTCAGAACCTATAAAACCGTGGTTTGTAGCTCGAGAGCGGGAGTGTGAATGTCTAGGTCACGAACGTAAAGAACGTGAACATGTTTGTGAACGTCTTTCAGAGGAGGATCATGAGCTAGTAGTAGATGGAATGGTATGAGAAATCGGACTAGGAGACTCAGCTCCAGCATGTCTATTTGGAACAGGATGACCAGAACTGGTGCCTGCTCTCGGTGTCACATCTATAATCAAGCCACAAATCACTCTAGACATAGTCAGTGTTAAAGGAACGTTGTGAGTGCAAAATACTGTCTATATAGATACATGGGAAGTCTAGGTGGGGGCCCATAAATGGCAGGAGCCAGGTGGGGCTAATATAACAGGGTCAAGGGTTAATCAACTGAATATTACTGGCAACTCAGGTTATGGGGTTAGTGGACAACAACCCAAAAGGAGAATGGAGAGAGTGGTCTGAAGGTGGACTTGCAGGGCAGGCAACTAAACGGCCCCACAGAGGTGGGAGTGTGCTTGCAGACGTCAGAGTTGTCTGGAGGTCTTTGGGATCCTGTCATATCCATACATACCCGATCCCAATCCAACTCCCGGACCCCCATCTTACCCACCTCCAGAGTCCTACCCTATCTCTGTCCACTCCGATACTCACCTTGGACCGAACATCACTCCTGTCGCCACCCTCCTCCTCTTACTCCTCACGACACCTCCACCCTTCCGTCACTCTCCTACCCTACTTCCGTCTGCTCCGATACTCACCTTCGGACCTGACACCTTTCCTCTCCTCCACTCCTCACCCTGCTCCTCTCTTCTCTCTCCTCCCTCTGATCCTCTTCCGCCAAACCTCTGGCAAGTTATGACCTTCCACCGTTGTCCCATACTGTCATATCCATACAATCCCGACCTCCGCTCCGGGCTCCCAGAACTCCGAAACTGATTCCGGAGCCCTACTTCCCTTCCGTCACCTTCTCCTTGCCGACTCCCAAGAGGTTATCCCACCTCCAGCTCCGACACCACCTTTGGTCCGACTCTGGAACATTCCAGGTCCGACCTCAACCTCGACACCTCCCAGATGAGCACGCAACACCTATGCTCCCGACTCTGGACCTCCGCTCCAGAATCCCGTTTGTGTCTCCATCTCCGGAACCTCCGGTCTTAGCTCCGACCTCGGACTTTGACCCCACCTCCACTTATACCCATTGTATTGGTTAGCTCATTATGTTTGCCAATATTCCGGAGTTTAACTTCCGAGTTCGGACTTTCCGGACTTACATTGGACCTTGCAACTATTGCATTGCTCCATTCAATTCCGCTATTCTCCCTCATTCCTATTTGGGCTGCTGCTTCCTTTCTATTCAGTCAGCTGGCCATTCCCCACTCCCATCCTCCTTCCTTCCTCCTTGGGCCTTGGCCCTTCACTCCTCCTTTGGGAAACACCATTGAGTCAAACACTTGACCCTCAGTGTTGTTCCTCCTTCCAGCTCCCTTTGTCTGCTTTCGGAGTACCCTTGCCCTTTTGATTCCGGACCCCTCCTTATATACAATGTACATAGTAACTTGTAACCTCAGTCCGAAATCGACTTGAATTCCCCCAAGAGACTTCCCCTCTGCTAGATCCGAAATTAGGGACCCCTAGGACAACTAGCAATGGCACAGCGCTCCGCACGAGTTGCTGAGGCCAAGGTCCTTCCATGCTAAGTCTCCGATTCCACTCCGGAGTTGTCCGAATCTGCCCGTTCTAACACATACCCTGTACTTGGACACCGCTCATACCTTCGCTCCGAGATTCCGTCATAGTTCTGACCTCGGACTTTGACTCCACCTCAGCTTAAGTCCATTGCATTGGTGACCTCATACTATGTAAACACCATTGCCAACATTCCTCAGACTTTCAACCCTGCCTCTGTAACCTCCATAACCTCTGCAACCTCTGAGCTCCATGGATCATACTCGGCACTTTCACCACTTGTAATGTATCTTTTGTGCTTTCCCCTCATCCTTATTTGGACTGCTGCTTCTCTTCATTCTAGCCAGTTAGTCATCATCCCCACTTCACCTCATCCTCCTGCCCCTCTGGGCTTTGCCCTCCCTATCTCCTTTCGGATGTACCACAGGTTCTAACCTATGGCCTTTTCAGTGCCACTCCGCTTCTATCATCCCTTTGTTCCCGTTCGGATGCCTTTGTTCCGTTTTGAACCCCCTTTGATTTCCTTGTGCTATCATCTCCCTATTATATACAGGCGCTTGTACATACTCATTTTGGACCTTCAGTCTAAAATCGACCTGAAATGCCCCCTAGAGACTTCCTGCTTGCCGCCTCTGAAATTAAGGACCAAATGGACAAACAGCAATGGCACAGTGCTCTGCTTGAGTCGCTGAGGCCAAGGTCCCTCCTTGCTAAGTCTCCAGTTCCCCTCCGGAATTGTCTGCCTTTGCCCAGTTCTAACAGATCCTGTACTTAGGGAGGCATTCATAATATATGGAAATGGGGGGGTGGTGACCATCAGGGGGCTCCCAGGTTGGTATGTGTGAAGAATGGTAACCCCACCCCTTACTTTCTATCTATATTCTATATGTGTCTCATAATAAACAATGTATACACAATAATCTGGGAATTTGGGAAAAGGAAAGGGACTCCTTTTCCTCCCCATCATTGAATAATCATAGCTCTATACAGCTTAATATTTGATGAACTGAGGTCTGAGGAGAACTGGGGTTGGAACCTACACCAACCCCTTACAGTATGAGCAGAGTGGAGATAGTTGGGGAGGGCCAGAGGTAGTGGTGGAGGATGGATATAACAATACCTGGTTTTTATTCAACCAGGGGGCACCAAATATGGCATTGTATTTGTTGATGTTTGTGCCAGGGCCCGACCCTCATTCCGTGATGGGCCCAGGGGGATCCTCCTAGTCACTGGGGTATCTAGTCCCAGTCTGAGATCCTCAAACTCACTGAGGGGGCTAGCCCCAGCCTTCACAGGAAATGAGTTAAGAAGCATAACCTTCTCAACCTCCTGTGAAGCCACTACAAATGGGAGCTGGGAACTATACAGTTTTCGGCTCTTTGCCGACTTTCCATAAATGGCACCCCCCGTGGGAAGATTCTGGGCAAGCAGCTCACCCAGAACTTTCCCACAGGTCTGCATGCATGCAGGATTGTGGAATAGTGAGGGGAAAAATAGGGGAAAATGGGGGGAGGGTACCTGAGGGTGTGTGGGGTCAGGGGCTGTGCCCTGACAGTTTGGTATGAGGATGGGGAGAAATTCTCCCCTCTTGACCTGTTCTTATAGTTGAAAGATTGTCATAAGATCTTGTTTGTACATTAGCAGAATGTGTAATTGATGGTCCCAGTCAGGTATAAGAACAGACAATTGGATCTTCATTGACCATGGTCCATGATTGAGCTATTTAAGGTTTGATGACTTGTAGTCGGAGACACCAGGGTTGATAGGTTAGCCATGGGTACTTGGCACTCCTCAGTGGAGCATTGTAAGCGGGCTAGGGATCTAACCCAGCAGGCAAACAGGAAAGGACAGGGACTGGATTGGTATCCAGCAGGTCAGGGAAAAAGGGTAATGGTATTGGTGAAAATGGTCCGGTGCGGTGCATGGTCAACTCCAGTCAGTCTCTCACCCCACCTCTCTGGGTGACACTAAGGCGAGGACTAATCTAGAGGTCTTCTTGGTTGTCTTCTTTGTTGTACTACTCCCTACTAGCTTGGGAGGGGCAAACTCGGTGGTTTCTAATCCAAGGGAAAAGGTAGATACATCCTCATGTACAGTATATATGAGAAATGATCAGGGAAAAATGATGAAAAATATGCCATGTGCCCCATGTGCTTAGGTGGACCATATGGGCAACAATCAATATCGGAAAATGGGAGGGAAAACAATAATCAAGGAAATAATAAAGCAATAAATGGTATCCGACCAAAAATACCCAACTCTATCCATCGCCAATAAACTCCCGCTAATCATGGATCCTAATACTCCTAAATGACGCGTTTCCAACGGTACCAATATCGTCCAAATCGGTCCAGTGGTTGCTGAGATAAGTGAAATCCAATCTGAGTGTGGCCATGCTGCTGGGTGAGCGTGGGAATTTGGTCTGTGGGGACTGGAAATGTATCTGAAAAAATGGGGAAAAATCGTGGAAGGGTAGAAATGGTATATGAGGATGTGTACAATGTGTTTCGATGCGTTGGGATGGGGAAATCGCGATATTTGGTTCGTTTATGCAGTATCGGCTGTGCCTGCCTACAGTGTACTGTGTGCATGGATGTGACTTGTTCAACATGAGAGGTTTCTGTATCATTGCTAACAGTTACTTGGTGTTTGTAGTATGAACATGCTGGTAGTGGGTTATTGTTACATGTATCAGGGAAGGAATGTCAAACAGGGCTTTCAGTGACTTGGCATTCCCAAAGGGAACGTACTAATTGTGGAGGGGTGTGATGACTAACATGGGAGAGACTAGATGGTTGATGGGCAGCTACTTGGCACTCATGTAACGAGCATGCTGGCATCATGGGAATGGAGTCTTCAGAGTAGTTATGGACCCAAGTAACATAGTATGACAATGTCCATTGAGCATTAGAGGGAGAACAAGGTGGTAGTGTCTGTTAGAGACCAGATCGAGACAAAGGATTTGTCTCTGTGGCAGAGGGCTTCGGCCTCAGTGACTCAAGCCAGGAGCGCTGTGCCAAGTTACATGTCTGTGCCCTAATTTACTTACTGGCAATGCAAACTAAAGGGGGATTAACTCTAGTCGATTTTATCACTGAGGTGTAACCTATGTACAAGTTAAGTATATATAGTTACAGCGAGAGTGGGCCCGTGAATGGCAGGGCCAAGCGGAGCGGAGCTAACGGAGTTAAACATTAGCCGATTGAATATTACCGACAAGTTGGGTTATGGGGTTAGTGGAATGGCAGGCGATAACCCAGAAATGGAAAGGAGGGATAGACCTGAAGGTGGGCTTGCAGGGCAAGCAAGTGAATTGCCCAGCAGAGGCAGGAGTGTGCTAGCAGATGTCAGGGCTGTCCAGAAGCCTTCAGGGCTCCATACTTAGGGAGGCGTAGGTAATATATTGAAAAGAGGGGGTGGTGACCGTGGAGGTGATTGTGGAATATGGGAGCTCCGAGGTTAGTGAAGAAGGAGTGGAGGTGTTCTGGAAGG